CACCATCTTCTGCTTTGGTAGCGAATAACACCTACCGGCAGGTGAGTAAGACCAGTCAATACAAACGACCTCGCTCGAGGCCTAGACGCAAGCACACCTCGACCCTGCTGACCCCAACCCAAAAACGCCTACTTCGAACACCGCAGATTATCCTACAGGACGAACTAAACTCGAAATTCATTCACAACAGATCCGCACTCACCCTCTCGCGCATAGAGCTCGAGGGGCTAAGCCTAGGACTCTCTTTCATCCCAACCCCATCACCCCCCACAGAACAAACAGTTATGAGCGCCCTCTCAAGATTCACGAGAGCAGTGAGACTTACCGCACAGTTCTCGTCTGACAGGCCAGCCCCACGCTTTCGTATTGCCAACCCATCCTGGATGCCCAACCCTGCTCCCCCCCCTGTAGAGCGATACATCGCGGAGGTGGGAAGGAACGTTACCAAACGCCTCCCACTGATGACGCGTAGCGCACGCAGGAACATGAGTGAGCAAGCGTTACGGTGCCTACAAAAGTTGGGTAAGAATAAAGAGGTGGTGGTAAAGCCAGCAGATAAGAATCTAGGACTCGCACTCCTAGATACTTCGTGGTATCGAGCAGAGGCACTTAGGCAGTTATCCGACACCAAAACCTACAAAGAGGTCGCAGCGGTACCCATGGACGACCTGTGCAGGGACCTCAACACTTGGTGCTCGAGGTACAAGGATAGGTTTCCGAAGGAAACCATCGAGTACATCCTGCAACCAAGAGTTGAGCGACGCACAGAAGCAGAATGTGAGGATCACACGGACATACACCCTGGGCAGTTCCGGGTGTGCAGATTCTATCTGCTACCTAAACTGCATAAAGACCCTGTCAAGGGGAGACCGATTTGCTCATCTACTCTCTGGATCTTTGAACACGCCAGCCAGGTGCTCGATCACTACCTACGCCCTTTGTTGGCCCTGGCACCAACCCATCTACCAGACTCAATCACCCTACTCCACACACTTCGTGCCCTCCCCATACCTGAACATGCCATCTTCCTCACGTACGATGTAGAGAGCCTCTACCCGTCGATCCCGCTCCAGCAGGGCTTGGACGCCATCCGAGAAACAAAGGACAGATTCGTGCACATCCACAGCCACCCAGTTTGGCCGGAGATGGGTACCGCCAAACAGCTCAGTGCGTGCTGTGCGCTCCTGGAGCTAGTCATGACACAAAATCACCTACAATTCGATGGGAAGTTCTACCGACAGATTCGAGGTACAGCCATGGGTACTCCGGTTGCAGTGATCTACGCAGTTCTCTTTATGAGCTGGCTAGACACTCGCATGGAGGAACTACACCCATCCCTGTCAAGGCATGTGCTACTGCATAGACGCTACATCGACGACGGATTGGTAGTCTGGACCGGATCGCTAGCAGAACTACACCAATGGATAGAGGGTTACAACAGCCTCATGGACGGCATTCACATCACCACCGAGGTCAGCGCCACATCGTTTACGCTGCTCGACATCACCTTCAGCAAAGGTAATCTGTGGGAGGCAACGAGAAAGGAAGATGTGAGAGGCGGTTTTCTGGACACCTCAGTGTACCAGAAACCGCTGAACGTCTATCAGTATTTCCCTTTCCGATCGGCACACCCGCGACACTGCAAACGAGGATTCATAATTGGTGAGCTGTACCGCTACCTCCTGCGGGAGTCATCAGAGGAGGGCTTCCAACAGATGAAATCCTCTTTCGCAGTGCGTCTACGAGCACGCGGCTACCACTCGAACTTCATCCGGCAGATCTTTGACGAGGTACAGTACAGCGACAGGGAAACACTCCTGCAACGATCAGTGAAAGGTAAGCACCGTGACGGCAGAGTACTGCCTTTTGTGCTCGAGTACCACCCTAGTCTCGAGCACCCACAGATAAGGTCCCTGCTCCGGTCCGAGACGAGTAGGACAACCCTAGAGACGCTCTGCCCGAGACAGCCTTTCCTCAGCTTCCGTGCAGCACCTAAGCTGAGGAATATGCTCGTCCGAGCTGCTTTCACGAGTGCCGACGCTCGAGCTACTTCCGAGTGCAGTGCCGCATGAACGACACCACTGGACTCTATCGTATATCGTTGCTGGGCTCGCCCCTGTTTGTGGCTTTCCATGCTGTTGTCCTCTCACACTGCATTTCAAACAATCGGGGGGGCTGCGCCCCC